AGGAACTTGGCAATAAGTTTTGTTGTTTACAGAACACCTTGCTGAGTAATGCACCAACACCAAGAGTCAAAGAGTCCTGACTCCTACTGGCCTGACCTTCCTCATTTACCTGGGGGAGGGAAGGGCCACCTTCAAGGATAAGTCAGGAGCTGTCAGAGAAAAGAACAGAGGAGATAAACAGGGGAAAGAAGTGGGAGGAAGAATAGAGAGGAGAAGAGAGGAGGTGACAGAGGGCCAGAGGAGCTGGGAAGAGACGAGGCATGCCACAAAGAGCCCTCTCCACGCTATGCCACAGCTTAATGTGTCCCTTAAACATGTTTTTCCCATGACATTTCTTAACTGGATCTAAATAGTTCCTATTTGGGGAAATAATGTTCTTTCACAGATATTGCACCAAGGACTGTCAAAAATTAAAAAAAGAACACACATCAAGACAATTTCATTTGTTGTCATGGTAGTTTAACTATCTCGGCAAACTTAAGGATCAGTTAAAATTTTAAAGATTTAAACTTTTTAATTTTTTATGCAGAACAATAATAGCATTTATTTGTCTGTTTATACGACGAGGCACAGGAATATGACTTTTGCATTTACTGTGCATTTTGCACAGTGATATGTTTGAACGTCCTAACATTTAAAAGCTTATGCCTACCTAAGTAATCACAATATTAATTAGACAACGAAAAACAAGAAAATACATAGAGCTAGTGTACAGGATTCTTGATAAGTTTTCTGGGACAAAGTAGACCATGTGGAAAACTTCTAGAAACTATCTGAGCTTGCCAAATATCAGAAGAGAGAGAGAATTAAAAGTCACTTTTCATTTGTCCTTTAAGGTTACACTGTTTATCAGTACATGAGTCCCAGGAATTTTTCCCTAGCCATTTGGCTGAGTATGAAAAGTGACTATGAATATGAAAGAGGTCATAACCCTGAGGCAGCTCTTTATTCTTGCGAATGCAATCGATGGCTTCTGAATCATTTAGGCTAAAATGCCAGCAAAAGTCAAAAGCTATTGCCATTAAGGTATACATATGTGCTCTCCCCACGTGTAGTAGACTTAGCAGTTTATACTCAATTCAAGTTGACTGAAAGGTATATGATGACAGACATTCTTCAGTATAACGGAGATAGTCAGAATTACATGGGAAACTTGATAAGTACAATAATGTATTGTTATAATGTTCTCATTAATTGTGTATAATTTATGATGATTTTTTGCTTTGAGTCATTAAAACAGGATATAAATTGGCTTCAACACTTAGGAGATTTTCTACTCTTTCTTGGATTTCCCCACTAGGGACCTAGTTTCAAAGTAGAATACTCCACTACCAAAGTTGAATACTTGCCTATTTCTAATTACACTGAATAATAGTTAAATGTCTTGGCTTATTCATTTACTACCACCAGTGCTAATGAAGTTTTCCATTGACCTGGACTCTCTGGACACCTGGGCCTAATAAAATGAACCAGCTACATTAGCTTAGTTTTACCTACAAATCAGAGTTAACTTTTCACTGGTGAAGACTTAAAGCTCATTTGTGTGTATTCCATTCTTTGAGCTCCTCCTCCTTTATTCTCTTTCACTTGTTTTTTGAGTGTTTTCATCACATGCTAAGACAAAGAAAGGAGGAAGTTGTAAAAGTAAATTTTAGTATATTTATTTAACTTTTAGCACTGCTGAGAAAAAATATGTTGTAGATTATTTTATTAAAAAATGTGGCTTTAATTTGTTATGGAGTGTAAAGGAAATGCAAAATCATCAAATTTATGAAATATACAAACTACTTATGAATTTCTCTAATTAAATTCCTTTTTTCACGTTGTCACAAATGGTTAAAAGATGATTGTTTTTCTTTTTTATGTAAATTTTTGAACAAATTATATGAGAGGACATTTAGCCTTGTAAACTATTTATACTATTCTCTATATTTAAATTAATATGAAATTTCATCAAAGATTTTTCAGGGATCATCAAAATAAAGCATGAGTGACAATAAGTGAAACCACATTTATAATTAATGAATATATTTGAATTTCTTCAGCATTTTATTGCACATCTGGAAGAGATGTCCCATTAACACAAAAGTACTTCTGATCTCAGAGCAAAAGCTAAAGAAAATATCATGTAGCCTTCAGATTTAAGCCTAAATAGAAGCAAAATTATTAATCAATTAGATATGGAAGCAACTGCATATTCCAAACAGACCTATAATAATACCTGTGTAATGGTTATTAAATTTTTAACATGAATCAGGTGGTAAAAAGGAGATGTTTTTTCATTCAGTTTAGATTTTAGTTTTGGGGGAAGTTTTTGTAGTTTTTTTTTAAAACATGATATTTATAATCTTTGCATGAGTTATATAGAGATATTTTTATGTCTCATGTGAGTGCAGCAACATTTTAGCTGGTGTTGCAAAAAAGACAAGTGTTTTCCTTAAACAGGAGATGTTTATTAAATGTCTATATAGCAATATTTTTATTATTTTGGCGGCTGGCAGGTACAAGGATCCAAACCCTTGACCTTGGTGTTATAACACCACGCTCTAACCAACTGAGCTAGGTGGCCAGCCTACATAGCAACACTGACGTATTTCAGGTTTTGCTTTGGTCTTTGTGATCTCTTTCTAGTTGTAACACAAATCTGTTGTTGAGCTGCATGTACAGTTGTTTTGAAACATATCAGAAATATTTGAGGAGATAACACTAAAATTAATATTCTTAGATAAGATGGTTTATGATACCGACTTTCAACTGGAAAAAACATACACATATATTCTTAGTATAGAAAAGTTAAACCCTGCGTTCCATGAAAATCCTCAAATTTTCCTATCATGAGCTAAGTGATTAGGATTTTATTTCCATTTTCTCCATTCCCTTCTGACAGATAAAGTGTAAATGTGTTTCAAATGAAAGCATTCCATCAGGTGGTAAGAAATGATTTTGGTAACATTTAAATAAAATTCCTTTTTTAGCTCTTGAGGCACTATGGCTAAAGAATGCTCTGCAAAATGAGCAAATAGAAAGTTGTCATTTAGTGAAAGTTAGCAACTGAGCTAATTTGCACACTTTGGCAAAGATGACTGTATTTAAAAGAGAAAGTGCTGCCTTTGGTTTGTCAGGTAGTGACAGAGTTACTGCAGTAGGTTCTTTTCTTCTTGAGAGGAAATTAATTTCCCATAATCAAATACTGTGGATTATAGTCTTTGTCTCCTTCTATCTTGGCCACAGAAGCAACTCCAAGGCTTTTTATTCAGCAACATTACATGGGCTTTTGTAAAACAAGCAGTGACATATTCAGTACTGAAAGGCTTTACCTGCTACCTTTTGTAGCTCCAGAACATAGCACATTGCTGCTTTGCAACAGAGGGGTATTACTCTGTGACTATATTTGTAAGGCTTTATTTTGGGAAGGAAAGGAAAATGACAGAAAGAAACCCACACATTTAAGCAGAAGAAATCTTCATGAGGTTTGAAAATTGAATGACAAAGCAGTATAGAGTGATATGGTTGGTAAGTGATTCACAGTAATTAATAGGAAGTTTTGTAGAAATGTTAAAAATAATTACTAAATGATGTTTAGTAGTACTGAAATAAAAGCACAATTTCAGTCTACTTGAATTGTCCAGTTTCTGGTGTGTATGTGTATGTGTACACCCAATATATATGTATTTACTTGAGATGATTTAAATTCATTTGCATAATTTACAAAGAATAGTATTTTTAAAAGATAGCATTTTTAATCCATTGCATCTGAAAAGTAATATTTTTCTGTAAGACAAGGGAGTGGATGGAGATTCAGGGAAAGACAGAAAATGCAAATCATAGAGAAAAATGACCTAGAGTCAAGGTGGGATAGAATCTCTTCTCTCTACAGATCTTATTCTTTTATATTTAAAAAAGAGTTTAGTGTATAGAGGAAAAGAGCTGCCCCTTCTCCTCTGTCTTATTTACCAGCTAAATCCTAGGCCTTTTGTCCCCCATCTGTGCTCAAGTTAAGTGTTGACTAGGCTTTGAAGAAGACATTAGGCACCCTGTAATCCATCACCTGTACTGAAGGACAAGCCTTATTTACACTTTGGGAAGATTGAATGAGAGTTTTGTCAGCTGAATAAAATGAGGACAGCCAGCCTTTCATTATCATCTATTAGCTACTGAGTTTTGACTCAAAACCAATCTAGAAGGTTTCTAAAACTGGGAAAGAATATTTTCTTACTCCTCCAAACTTTAGTTTTGGGGATCATTCAACCACTGCCAATGAATAAATAAAATACATATGATGATACTTCAAAAAGTTCATGGAAAGATTCGCATCATTTTTCAATTCTATTTTTCCACAAATTTTTTGAAGTACCTTCATACATACTTATGTAAATAAATAAATCTCCAACAGAAAAGGAAATCAGTTCTGTTTTAGTTTATAAAGATGTGATTAAAATTACACTTAAAAAGGAGACAATTAGACTATTCAAAATCCTGGATTATCTTATTGTTCAATACTGCATTCATTACAATAACAAGGCAATGTGATTTCTAAAGTAATCCTAAATTTAGCTGTCCTAATTCAGCCTAGAGTTAGCCTTAATGTTCTGTAGCAACATGAATTTGATTCTTAAGATGATTCCCTCTAACATTATAGGATAGGGCTATTCTGATTTTATTTGACATGTTGGCTTTATGGTTTTTCACCTAACAAGCCAACGTGGTCGTTTAGAGCTAATTGGAGCTTATTTGGGTCTGTGCTTACAAGACCCTGTTAACAAAATTGATCTGTGAGAAAGAAAAGCTGGCAACAAATCTCTGCCGGAGTGCTTTGATTCATCATCACTAGTTTTAAGTGACCATGAGGCACAGGGATTGCTTCATTTAGCAACGGTATACTTTTCCTAAAGCAGTAGGTGCTCTTCCATTAGGCACTGATTAGATGATAAATGTTAATATAGCTCTCTGGCGTTCAATCCACTCAAAAATCACTCTGCATTCTCATTCTCTTTGCACAGCCAACCCAACCCGAGCAGGCGGGAGAGAGCCCTACCCAGGCTCTGCAGAAGTGATTCGAGAGTCCAGCAGCACCACGGGCATGGTCGTGGGGATCGTCGCCGCTGCTGCGCTGTGCATCCTCATCCTCCTCTATGCCATGTACAAGTACAGAAACCGGGATGAAGGCTCGTACCATGTGGACGAGAGTCGAAACTACATCAGTAACTCAGCACAGTCCAATGGGGCTGTGGTAAAGGAGAAACAACCCAGCAGTGCGAAAAGCGCCAACAAAAATAAGAAAAACAAGGATAAAGAGTATTACGTCTGATCCCAAGATCTTAAATGGACACTTGTATAGAAATAATCTTCATTTTATCTGAGACATAATACGAACTTATTTACTTTCCTTTTTATGAAGCACATACAAAAGAAGACAGGGAATGCAATCAGGAAGGAAAGACTTTTTAAAAAATAAAAACAAGTATCTCATGCTCTTGTTTTTCAAAAAAATTTTAAAAAAGAAAATAACAGGGGCCAATAAATTCCCTAACATCCAGTGTTTTCATTTACTCTGCCTGTCTTTATGTTGCTGGAACATTTCTAAAAGACAGTGATGACCGCACGCATTCATAAAGCAAAGGAGTATTACAATATCAAGGCACAACACAAAAAACAACACAAAACACACAAAAAGAAGCTACCTATGATCCTGGATTTAGCCAAAGTGCTAGCGCTTTCCGGAGAAGTCAGTTAGTCCGATTGCCAGAGAGGACTGTCATTTTGAGCGACTCAACCTGCAAACCTTTCAGAGTTTGCCGCCTGGCGCAACTGGAGCAATGGTTGGAACTTGCGTTTGAAACAAAGTGCTGGCTTTTTTGAAGACTTGTGTAGGAACACATTCAAAAAGCCCCTTTCTGGTGTGAGAGAGAAAAAAAAAGTATGGAGGCCTTATTTTCAAAAATGTGAAATATAAGGCACATTTTCACACTAAAATTTCAAAACAAAAACAGGAGGGCATAGATGCCATCACTGGGAAATTTTCATGCACGCTTACTATGTTATTACATATGTTTATATAAAATCCATCTCTGTGTGCTTTCTGGACTGTGATAAGTGACGTTTTATAGCCTGTTGTATAGAAAATGCAAAATATATCTCTGCTCTTCAGCCATTTTTGGTAAATTCAATGTTATAAGTGTTGCTAAGTATAGGGAGATTTATGACATCAGAGCAACAATTATTTCAGGTTCTTTTTTTATTTTATTTTATTTGCCACCATTATAAATTGCCACAATTACTTACTTTTCTAAAAAAAAATTACAGTGTAGTGTTTATTCTAAGGAAGATATGTATGAATGTATATAAAAAGACTCAGCTACTTTTTTTTCTTACATGTACAGCCTTCATTCTGTTGCAATTAAGTTTTAGTATTTGTATGAAAGGCGTGAATTAGAAGGTAAAATATATACATATGTATCTTATAACCTCTTCTCCCCCAAATACTCACATTCTCACAAATTTTCACCATTTGCAGTTACACACACACATGAATCCACAGGAATTTATCAACTATGATGGAAGACCCAAATGTGCATATAGTAGCAAATATTCACTGACAAATTGAAAAGCAGGAAGAAAGATAGTTGTGCCAAGGTGTTGATGACAAGTGGGGTGATTTGCTTTATTGAGATCTTGCTCCTAGGAAACCCTGAGAATATTTTAGTTCCTAATGAAATGGAACCTTTTTTTATCCAAAAGAATATCACTGGTATACTGCTGCATGAATATGAACCATTATGTGGGCAGGTTACAGAAGCAAAATTGGTTAATCTATACCTTAACTCTGGCTGCTGCAATTGAAAACCTTGTTTCTGATAAGATAATATATATATTCTCTGAACCTGATGTGCATGATAAACATTTTTGGAAAGTAAACACTTTTCCAACTAAAAGTATTTTTAATAATTTTTGATTCTGTATTACTACCCATTTAAAAAAATCATTCGCTGTTGATTATTGACTATATTTTAACTTTTCTGATTTTACATATATATCATTAAATATAGTTTTAGTTTAACACTTACTAAATGTAGAACAGTATAGATTAAACACTTGTTTTTGCATATTATTTCAATGATGTTCATAGCAATAAATTGTTAGTATGAGAAGGCAATGCAAAGGAAACGCGTTAGTAGATTGGAAGGTGATGCTTCAGTAAAAATTGGTCACATTACTTGAACATCTCCTAAAAGAATGATGTTAGATTTCATAGACTAGAAGAATATCTTTACAATTAGCTTTAATCAGCAAAGGCAAAAAATGCAAACATCTTTTATGATGCTTTAGTTGATGAAAAAAGCCAAGAAGTGGCCTGGATTTCTGACATACAGCACCTTAGAAATATGTCTAATTCATAGCAGATCACCAATATTTTGCGAAGTAATTGTATATGAAGAAAGACTTTTCATGACCGGAAAATGGAAGGTATAAAGCTAAAATTTAATATCCATTGCTTCTGTTTCAGGTTTTTATCTTTTTTTTTTCTTTATTTGCCAGGTTAGAGAATTCACAAGACTTTCTCCTCCCCTCTCATTCAGTCTTACTCAGGGAAAGCCAGTGAAACAAAAAGGGAAATATGAAACCACTAATTTACAGCTTGCAGTTTTTAAGAAATTAGTTGCTTTTTCATTTGATCTGTTGAGATTAAGCTAGTTTCCATCTGGACAGATCCCAAAATATAATCGAAAATAAATGGAATAATGGTATTTTTAAGCAGTATATCTATGAAACATGTTGTTTGGGATTGATTTCAATGTTTCTCCCCAGCATAAATGTAAAAATTTCATGCAATGATATAATCTAATATTGCCAGTAAAAATATTTCTAATGTTATTGTCCTACGCAAAATCTAGCAATTATTATTATTTTTTTCCAGAATGGAGAAAGAAAAGAGAGGAACATGAGTCAGAAAGAGAAAAAGATTTGAATAAAGTTCCACGTATCTTCATACCAAATGTATCAGGGTTCCATGCATAGTTTGCAGTTAATAGAGGATTTCACATTACCTGGCATAAATTTGATTACATCTCTAGACTGTAACTTTTCTGATTGAGTATGCTTCTTTTTTATCCATGTAATGTGTTGCCTTTTTTAAGAAAACAAATACTACAATTATGTGTGAGGTGGTCAATCCCTAAGACATCAACGAAAGGCCACATGATCTACCCTTCTAGTGCTTTGTGTGATTGGGTATCTAAGGGGTTTCTTTTTTGTTTTCTTTTGTTTTGTTTTTCTGTTGCAAGGCCAATTTATCCATTATTGGAAATGCTAAGCAAGTGGAATTTACTGTTTTGTTAATAAAATATTTCTTAGTACAACTGTGGATTTATTGATTTAAGAAACTTTATGCGTCACCATTTTGTGGCAAAGTGGCACAGAGAAGAAGACTGCATTTGAAAGGAAGACCCATCCTTAGACAAGAAAGGCAAGAATGTTGACTCTCTTTTTTTCTGAATTTTGTTATTTATTAAGCACTTCTACCTTTATATACTTAAAGAAGCAGCCATTAAATTTACCTTTGTTTACATCTGTTCATCTTGATATTCTTAAAACCACACACTCATAGAACTAGTTGAAAACTAGATGCTGATTTCATAAATATGCTCTTCTCCATAAAAAGCAATGGAAGTCAAGTTAAATAAATCTGTGATTAAATTCCAGCACATCACTTACTAGCTATAACTTACCTAATTTTTTTGATTCTCCTTTTTCTCATCTGTAAACTAAGGGTAATACATATAATAACAACTTCACAGGGTGGTAAGGATAATAACTAATGTTGTACCTAGCACAACGAAGGGCAAATAAAAGATGGCTACTAATAATACTATTATTTTTATAGTAATAATAATAGCTTTGAGAAAACATATCAAAAATGTTGGCTCAGGCTGTGTTATTTGAAAAAGCAAGTATATAAAAAAAACATACTTGTTTCCATATAACTATAATATATAAATTAGCTTTTTGGAAAATCAGAAGACCCATCAGTAAGTTTTAATCCAACAGCTTGTTGCTATTTTAAAACTCTGGACTTTGAAAATAATTTTCTGATAGAAAAGCATGAATTGGTCTTCTTTTTCTTTGTTGATAGTAAAAGGTTTGAACATGAATGCTTTATCTATTTTGTACCTATATTGTTTTAAATACAAGTATTATTTCTTTCTTAATGATTTTCAAAATTTAGCAGAAGAAACTATTCACATTTCCTTAAAATCTAAATTAAAGGCTATATAATTTAGCTTATGTTAAAAATGTATGTCATTTCAAAGTTGGTGGCTGTATAAAGCCTGTTATAAGTACACAGAGCAAAGAGTCATATTCTTGACCTTTGGGGAGCACAGATTCCCCAGAACCCAATGATTAGACATCAGGGGTTACTAACTTCTAAATACATATGTAAATAATCGGGGCATCAGGGGGGTGGGGGGTGTATGTAGATAAACATTTTCCAGGAAAGTGTTTCATTAAGTTCGTGAAATCCTCAAAGGACTCCAAACTATTGAGCACTAATATATTTCAATCACCACAATCTCCACTCTTCTGAACAACTTAATGTTCATCCAAAGGCGAACTTCTCCAAGGACTAGAACATTTGATTTAACACCTTGAGGACCAGCTGAATATATCTGATATGCAGCAAGGTCCTTGCCAACAAAAGCACCCATCTTTAAGCATGTAGAGGCATGGTTTCTCATCAATATTTGAGAGTGGCAAATGGAACACAAAAAAATATCTAATTGACCCCTAAATATGTGGTTATATTTAAATTTATATAAAAAGGAGAAAAGAGCTCTTCAAGAAAGTTGTACAGGTAAGGCATCTTTTAACATTCCTTGACAATTCTTTTATCAAGGAAGCTGAGTAGCTCTAGGTCAACTACAATAAGTACTGTCCATCTCTTGCTTGTTCAAATACTCTTGCCATTGAATCCTGTTCCTCCAAACAAAACAGCAATTCTGGATGATACACATAGGTATTTAAGCTGTGGCATCTTATGTCCCTCACCTGAATTCCATCCTTATGAATGAAATGGTAATGGTTGAAGGTACCACAGAGCAATCTTGCTTAAGAGTACACAATAACTCCTTGAAAAAAATTAAATATGGAGCCATAGCATCAATCCTTTAGTAAAAACAGCAATAAATAGAATAACTCTTATTGAATGCTTCTGATCTGTGATAGTTCAGATGTTTACTGTTTAAAACAATTTTCTTTTACAGTTAAATAAAATAATCTGAAAAATAATCTGCCACAAGCACAAAATTTAGAGTAAGATGGATCTAAATACTAGATTTGAAATTACTAGCTGTAGGACCTTGGGCAATCACTCAATCATACTAAGTTCATTCAGCCGTAAAAGCAAGTTAATGAGACAACCTATAGGATTGTAAGGATCAAGAAACTAATGCACTTAAATATTTTGAGGTCAATATCTTATTAAAAGATAAAAATTAAAGCTTATTTCTTTATTTGGGTAAAATGCCAGTGGTCTGGTCTGCTTAGCCTATCCCAGGATCCCCAGGAAGCACTCTGTTATTTTGTATTATGTCAGAAGGCCATGATAATTGACCCTTACTTCCATTATCCAATAAGCTTTCTCAACATCAGAATGATCTTCAGAGTGATGATTCCAGGGAACATTGAAAGGAGAGTGGGGAAGTACATTAGGGAAGTTAAAAAAGCCAATTAAGGTCTATTACATAATTGGTTACACTATGGGCCATATTACTCAGGAATTGTAGGAGACAGTGTAGAACATGCTTCAGAAATTGTTCCACCTGAGGGCCAAGGAAAGTGGGATATGCATCCATCAATTCCTATCAGTCTTTGGTAAAGGGCTGCTCGAGGGCGAGGAGGTAGGGGTAGGGTGTGCGATCGGTCACCTGCAGCATGTGCTTCAGTTTCTTATGCATTTGAGACTAAGTACTTTTACCTACATTGAATGCATTCAGTTCTCTGTCTAGTAAAATCAATTCTGAACTGAAAAACACATTCTTCAAAATGATGTGATTCCATTGTCAGAGCAGTCTCTATATTTTCCCTGTGGCACTGTGATGGTTTTCTTAGGACCACTAAGGCTAGTTTCTGGTCATCTTGTAATCATTTTCTACCACAAGTGCAATAGTCTAGGAACTTGTATCCTTCTCTTAGTTTTAGTGGAATACTTTATCCCAGTGTCTGTCACATACAGCAGCTTAAGTCCAAAACCCAGATACTATTCTCCTCAAACATAACCCAGGACCACTGGGCATGTTGAAACTCTCCTCTGCAGATGAGGAGAAAAGGTAGGTGAGGAAATCAGATTCACCTGTTTTTGTCATCTGTGTGCTTGTTCTTCAAATGATTCATTTATGTCCTACTGCTCACTGTGAAGTTGTCTCAGATGCCTGCTATTGGCTGGGAGGGGATGGGGGTACAATCTATCTCTTCCCTATCTGTGGAAACAGCATACATAATGAACCTCTAAAAGATTTAAGTATTCCTTTATTCTGTGTTCCCAGTGATAAAACTTGAATTTTGTAGAGTCAGGAGATGTGATGGAAGAGTTTATGCCTTTGGCATCACTAGCTAGCCCAGGTACACTATATATGTGCAGGATCTCACCTACAGACACATGGCCTGTGCCTGTGTGGATTATCTTTGGATGGTGGAGAGTATTCCACACAGATGTTCTCTCACCTCTTTGCACCCTTTCTGCTTCTCCTTCATCCAGTTCTTTTAACCTCATTGTTTTCACTTCTCCACTGGCTTGGAAATCTCCATGATCCCTAGTATGTGTTTTAAGGCATAGCCATTCTGGGTTTCTGCAGAGGAATTTTTTAAATCCTAAGTATGGAGAAAGGGAATACAGATATCCAAGTTGTCATGTACTCTGGGTAGAGTTTGATTTTTCTTCGTTTTTTTTTTCTATTTTTCTTTGTCCCTATGTATGAAAAAAAATCAGACATCACACTGCACCTGTTATTCTCTTATCAGCAACCCTCACAACCCTCACATCTGACCTTAATTTTGGACTAAATTATGCAAAAGAGTTCCTGTCTTCTTGTTGACCTTGATTCATGTTATAAAGGCACCTCCATTACTTTAGCAGAAGCCATATTCTCCTACCTCCTCCTGATTCCTCTGCCCCTCATTGCTGCCTGCAGACGCAGGGATAGGGCAGCTACTGCTCCTAGGTGCAGGTTTTTTTAAATGTGAGCTATCAGAGAGTTCTGAACCCAGCCACAGCAGCTAACTTTGATGTCTCCCCACTTCTATCTTCTTAGATTAGACTTCTAAATGTGCACTTTTTAGAGTTTCTATTCTATTTTTGGAGTTTTTCATTTGTCTTTAGTCATATTTACCTCTAGAGCATCTGGTTACTGGGTCACACATTTTCTCTGTATTTTTAAAAAGTTTTTCTCCCAAAGTCCACAACATATACCTGACCTGTCCAAAAGATTCCCTTCCTTCTGTATTATGAATTTCCCAAGATTTCCTGTTTCTTCCATCACTGCACCAGCACCTTTCTTTCCCTTGTTGGTGAGAATTTTAGCTCCAGAATATTAACTGACTTTGTTGCCTTTCAAGGCCAGTCCAAATGATCCATTCTTATTAAGGTGAAACTTTTCATAGGTAATGAAAGTAGCTGGAATTTTGACATCTTGGCTCTGTGCCATTTTCATTACCCATAGTATCTAATCTTATCCATTCCTCTGTAAATATCACCTTTTCTTCTCTCTACTTTTATCATCATCAAAATATTCTCATCATACTTCAATATTAATGTTCAGAATTATCATTACTGGACAAATATTTTACATGGAGGGACACTCCACTTCTGAAAACCTCTGAGTTTAAAATGTAATACTTAATTTGGACTTGTGGATAAGGATTTGAATGTAATTTTCTGTGTGTGAAAACAAGCATGTAGTTAAAATTTTCTACATGACTTAACAGTTAATAATTACAAACATTTGTGGAGTGCTTTATGTTTACAAAGTACTATCCCAAATATCATTTTATTCAATTCTCATAACAAAATTCTCTATAGACAAGTAAGGTAATATGTAGATATTACCAAATATAAATTCGCACATTTGAAGCCCTGATTATACATAAATACATGCATGCATACATATATATATATATATATATATATATATATATATATATATGCATTTATATTTTAAATAAACATTAAAGACTCAGAAACAGAATGGTTTCAGAAATCATTGGTAAGTGATTTAGGAAACAACTGAACTAGACAAATTAGCCAGCTCTCAACTGTTTTATTCTCTGGTTGTAAGGCTACAGAGAGCATAGTGGTTAATGAAAA